AAAAAGGACCCTCTGACACAACGCGGGGGAGCCCGTCCAGACGCAGGGAGGGGGGGGGGGGGGAGGTGAACCTCCCGAGCAGGGAAAGGCAGGAGGTTGGAAAAGGAAACGCTCGAGACCACCTGCGCCCAGAGGGCTGGTGGGATATGTGTATAGGTTTTTGGGGCACATCGATTCTGTAGTCGATCCACTACTTGCATCAGCCTGCGCGCGCCCTCGGCGCCGAGCAGCCAAACTCCCGGCAGTGGCTCCCGGGAGCTCCATGACCACGACCCGCGCTCCTGGCCGCCTTCCCGACTCGCCCGCGCGGCCTACGGGCGGGGCCGTCCGCCGAGTAGACGACCGCCGTCGAAGACGACAGAACGGCATGCACGTTACCTTGCGGCGCTCCTGGGGGAAATTGCTTGGATCTGGCGCGCTCCGCGCGCAAGGGAGGGGGTCCAGCGCAGATCCAAAAAATCCGCGCGGAGCGCCGAAAGTTTAAGTTCATGCCTTGTTTTGTTCCTCGACTCTTTGACGACTCCCCCCGTAGGGCGCCAGTGCCCACGTGGCCCAGCGCCACTATGACCTCCCCGCCCAGTCGTGCGCGGGTCCTGGATCAGCTCGCCCTCTCTTTGACCGAGCCTCGCGGCCTCCGCTCTCGCCTTGCCCAGGCAGCAGCGAATGCTCAGCGGCTCCAGCTGCTCCTGACCCACGCTGGGGGGCTCGCCGCCTCCTCGGACGGCCAGCAAGATCCCCCCTGCGCCGGGCCGTCGCATCGCCAGAGTCCGCGCAGTTCGCCTAGACCTCCTCCCAGCTGCAGCCCGACCTGGTGAGCTCGATCTCGGCGGGGCCCACCTTCGCCGAACGGGGGGCGTCTGCGATCGCCACTAGCGGTGGGCCTTGAGACAGAATGGTGGCGGAAGGGAAGGAGAGCGGGAGGAGAGCACGGGAGAGGCTACGCACGCGTACAAAACGTCCATTTATATGTCTAAGGATGTCCAAATGTGAATACAGCCACGAGCAATTTCGGCATGACAAGGATGAGGCACGTGGCGTCAAAGAGGCCGCACGTGAGACGAAGTCCCAATGATGCCGCCTCATGTCGCGCCTCCGCTGGCTCTCTTAATATTTCTCTCTCTCTCTCTGCCTTTTTTTTTTTTTTTTTCTCTCTCTCTCTCTCTCTGTCTCCCTCTCTCTCTCTTTCACTATCTCCCTTTCTCTCTCTCTCTCTCACTGGCATCGCCAACGTTGCCCCATGGCACTTTACTCATATCCAGTCGGGCCGAGGTACAAGATCGAGGGAGGTCGGTTGGGGGAGGGTACTTCGAGCGTCGCGGCGACATGGCGCAGGCAGCGCTGCATCTTTAGCGCACTACCGGCAAGAGCAGCACTCTCTGGTCTTCTCCCGTCACCGTCGTCGTGGTCTTCTGCCCCCTGCCACCCTTCCTGTGCTGGTGCCGCGCCGACCTCCCGCGCGTCCTTCTCCTGCCCTCCGTTCCCGCCCCCCATCTCCTCCTCAAGCCTGGGCCCTCGCTCCCTGTCCTTCTGCTGCTGTCTTGTGGGTCGTGCCACGCGAGCGCATCCCACGCAGCGTGCGCAACGTAGAACGGCGCCCTGGCAAGTCTGGGCCACGCGTGGGGAAACGGGCGAAAACCCACGTATACAGGCGGAGGGCATCTGGCAAAACACCCGACGAATGATTATCGAATGGCCTTCCGCACATCCCGCCACCGTGCTTGGGTTGCGGGTCTGATTGAGGGCACTCGGATGGCTGATGGGGTCTCGTGGGAGGCGTTTCGGGGGCGTCTTGGATGCAGCTGTTAAACCTCTCGGGGGGCCTCCTGGGGGCCTCGCTGGGGCTTGTTGCGGCCATCGTGGGGCTCCATAGGGGGCCTGTTGGGGTTCCTCGGGGCATCCCTGAGGCGTCTTGGGGTGGATTATTCGAGATGTCCGTTCGGATTCTCCCTTATGGGCCACCTCTTGGGGCTGTCTTGGGGCCCTCCTGGGCCGTATTGGGTGTTTTGGAGGGTCTTGGGGCCCTCTTGGGTCTTCTTGGAGCCCTCTTGGGGGCCTCTTGGCCCGTCTTGGGGCAATATTCACGACCTCTCGGACCGTCTAGGACGTTGCGAACGCCCAAAAGCAAATGTGCTAGAAAATGCACGTTTTCCCGAGGGAATGGGACGAGTCTTGCTTCTGGAGGCCCTCCTCTTGGGGCGCCTCTTGGGCGCTTCTTGGGGCGTTTGGAGGGCCGCTTGGATTTTCGGGAGGCCAGTTGGAACATTGGTTAAGCGACTCGGGCCGGGTGAGGGGCCTTGCTGGTCCATCTTGGAGATGTCTTGGGGTCCTCCTGGCCTGTTTTGAGGCCGTCGATGCCACCCTCCGGAGAAAAGTACCCGGCCGGGCCCGGCCAGCCCAGGTAGAGCCCCCCCCCAAATCGACCGGATTTGGCCCCCTGGGGAGGGGTTTGGGGAGGGGGGAAACATTTTACACGCCGATGAACCCCAAGGGGTCGGCGGATCCGTGTTTGTTGAATGCTATTGTGCATCCCAGGGGGGTACCCTTGGATGTTTCGTTTTGGCCGACGGAGGGTTTCATCTTCTTGATATATGTGTTTCTGGCCGAGGTCCGACCGTACTATTATGTCAAATCGAATGAATTGCCCTAGCCAGGGTTGGCTAGAGAGGGTTCGCTGGGAGGGTTGGCCTGGTTATTTGGGGCTGGCTGTGGGGGGGGCTTGGTTTATCGTTGCAAGGAAAGTTTGTACCATCGCGAAAAGTATGCGAAGTTTTGCCATTTTTAGTAATAGTGCCGTATATGGGTCCTGGTCGTCCTCGAAGTTCTAGGCATTGTAATGGTTCTCCCGTTCGTTATTCTCCGGAGATTTCCTATTTGGTAGTCGTCCTTTTTTGTGTTTCGTCCTCATCGCTTGAAGCTTCTTCTTCCTCATCGTCCTTCTCGTTTTCTTTCCACCCTCACTGTCTGTCCGCCTGTGCGGGTAGGGTGCTTGGGCGTGGCAGTTTCGGTTTTCGCCGTGCGCGGTTCTATCGACGATGCTCCAGCTTCTCGGGCAGAGCACGACACAGGTTTCACACAAGTTGCATAACTCACTTGTTGTGACGTCATGCCTTATCTGAGTCACACCAGCGTCGAGCTCGTCGGTCTTCGGCACGAAGGGCCTGGACGTCCGCGCGGGCGCCGAGAACGATCTGCGTAGCACCCCGCAATTGCGGATACGAGTGAGGGGGCGTCGGGGTTGTCGGCCATTTGTGACGTTCTGGAGAATCCCGCCGCAGGCAAATATATTTTTAACACGTTACATAACAAACCCGCCGCAGGCGCCGACTGTTTAGTCAAAGCAGCGTGGGCAGGTCGCGGGTAGGTCGCCTGTGGGTCGCGGGGTGGGTCGCGCGTGGTTCGCAGGGGGACGAACACAAGCAGCACACAACAAATCACAACAAACAAGCATGATTTGTGCCACGGGGTCCTAGTTCACTCACGCCCCCACGGATGGCGCAAAACCATTCGGCCCCCTTTCACTTTGATTTACTTTACGTTGACTGCATCCTCCTTTTCCCCCATTCCCCCCTGCTTGATTCGTCATCGTCGCCATAGTTTCGAAAAGGCGCCCAAGGGGTCAAGTCGTGGAACTATGGAGGGGGCTGGTTAGGGGTCGGGTTAGGTATCGATATGAGGCAACTGGCGGTCAACTTCCACCACTGCCCTTTCCTCCTCCGCCCCCACTGTTTTTACCTCCTCTTCCTCTCTCCCCCGCCCCCACCCGATCCCCGTGGAGGCACATAAAGAAGATGCGGGAGAGGAAGCTGAGGAGAAGAGAGAAGGATGGAGGAGCAGGAAGAGGAGAAGCAGCAGGAAGAGGAGGAGGAGGAAGAGGACAACGAGGCGGACGAGGAGGACGAGGAGAAGCAGGAGGAGGAGGACGAGGAGGAAAAGGAGGAGGAGGAGAACAAGGAGGCGGACGGGGAGGACGAGGAAGATCAGGAGGAGGAGGAGGAGGAGGAGGAGAGGGGGAGGAGGAGGAGGAGGAGGAGGAGGAGGGGGGGAGGGGGGGAGGGGGAGGAGGAGGAGGAGGAGGAGGAGGAGGAGGAGGAGGAGGAGAAGGAGACTCACTCTGAGAGTGCGGGCTCGCGCCCCGTGCACGTGGTAGTGCGAGCGTTCTTCTTCCCATGGGTCGCCCGCTGCAGGGGCACGTGCCTCTCCCGTGTCGCTCCAGTGCCCCTCCGGTGAGCTCTTAGTGAACGTTCCAGCTTGTCTCCAATGCACTTCGCGCTGCCAGCGCTGCTGCCAGGTCGCGCTCGCCACGCGTGCCCGCCCGCAGGAACCCCACATCGGATTGCCAGCGTTGCTGGCAGGACGCGAGGCTGCGGGCTCGCCTTTTGGAGCGCTTTGCCAAGGATTTGTGGGTAGGAAGCTCATTCCAAGCGTGCCAGCTCGCGTTCGGTGATCATGCTGCTGCCAGCGCTGCTGCCAGAAAGTTCAGTCCGAGCGTTCGAGGAGAAAAAGGTATCGACCGCTACCCCTCGCCCGTGTTCCTCTTTCTGGGCCTCCTGGGAGGCTTTCGTCGCCATCGTTGGAGTCGCGTTGAAATTCGGGTCAGAACGCACCCCGGGAGAGGTTCCGAGAAGTTCAGTCCGAGCGTTCGAGGAGAAAAAGGTATCCACCGCTACCCCTCGCCCGTGTTCCTCTTTCTGGGCCTCCTGGGAGGCTTTCGTCGCCATCGTTGGAGTCGCGTTGAAATTCGGGTCAGAACGCACCCCGGGAGAGGTTCCGAGAGCAGCGGGATCGGTACCTTTCTGTTTCCCTTGAGCGTGCTTGCTCGTTTCTTGCTCCCTTGCCTGGAATGGCTGGCCAGGGATAGCCAGGGGCTTGGCGAGGGTAATTCTTCGATAGGTAGCTCCTTTTTTTTCGCACAGCACTGCTCTTCGCTCGGTGTCTCCTCGCCTCTGGCACTCAGCTCTCCGGCCCTCGCGCCAGCCCCTGCTGTCCCTCCCAGCCCCGAGGTGTTCGAAGATTCGGAGACGACGAGGCGCTGGGGTCCTTCGCGGGAGCAGAGACCCCACTATGATTCTCAGAGTTCCCCGACCCACACATGTCCCTCCTTTCTGCCACCACCCCTCCCTCCCTCCGCTCGCTCCCGCCCCCTCGCTTCCTCCCCCGCCCTCCTTCGCACCCCCCTCTCTCTTTCCCCGCATCCCCGCCCTCCCCCGCTGCTCCCCCCGCTGCCCACATGGACCTCTCCCCCCTTGCCCCTGCAGCTCGTCCCACTCCCCGGCTCCCTCTACATTGTTTTCCTCATTGCGCCAGATTTTGTTCTGCCAGTGTTTACAAAGTTGTTGTTTGTTTCTCTCTCTCTCTCTATCTCTCTCTCATTGCGTTCTCTCGTTCGCTCCCCCATACCCCTTCTTCTTTCCCATTCCCTAACCCGTTCCATGCTTCTTCCATCCTTGTTTCTCATCCCATCTCCCCTCCTCACTCCCTTCCCCCTCGGATGGGGAAGGGAGGGGAAAGAGGACGGGGCGGGGGATCGGATCGACTGCCGAGTCGATCCGATCCCTTCCCCCTCCCCTTGCCCGTCCCCCGCCCCGTCCTCTTTCCCCTCCCTTCCCCATCCGCTATCCCTATTTCCTATATGTCATCACATTTCCCCTCGCCTGATCCCTCCCCCGCCTTCCCTGCCCTGCCTCCTCTGTCTCTCCTTCCTTCATCCTTCGCGGAAGACAGCTCTGCCAGAAAAAAATGACATTGAGCCCATGGCGAGATTTTGTCAGACACACGCGGAACATTCCGCACGGATGAGTTAGATGAGTGCGTGTATGTGTACGGGTGGACGGTTGGGCGGATGGATGTCAATGATTGTCGCATTGCGGTCGATGTTCAGTTCATGTTTGTTCGAATTCTTATTGGTTGTTTGCCGTCCCGTGCCTTAATTCCAGCGATGCTGCGCTTCAACGCCTCCTCTCCTGCGTCGCGCGGTTCCAGCTTTATCGTCGTGTCCATCCCCACGCACTTGGCAGTGGCAGAGTCGCTCAGATTGTTGCGTGCGCTTGAGCAGGCGCCTGGGACGAGGGGCTGCAGGATGAGCAAACGAGAGTACACACACAGCAGGCCAGCAGAGCGTGCACCCTTGCCAGCGAGTGAATGCTGGATAGCCTGATTTCTGGCGTGTCTAACAGGGACTGGCTTGTGAGTTGCACTCCTTGGAGTATGCTTGTTAGGGCAGGGGCAGGGCATCGGGGCAAACGACTGACTATGTTGACGCTGTTGCAGGCTGGTTGCGATGGCCAATACGTAGCAGCCCATCCGCGCGCACAATCAAACGGACATTCTCGCAAAGCATGTCAGAACACACGTATACACGTGTACGTATATTTATATGTTAGTCAACGTGGACCCCAAACAGTGTTTCTAGCAGTGTAGTTTGCTCAAACCATGTGGAGTAACCCGTGTGGGGCAACACATGTTGCGCAGTATATGATGTGTAACCTATCATGTGCAGGAATTGTGGTGCGATCTATGAGGCACAACATCTGTTGTGCAATATAGATATATACAAATATGTATATGTATATATGTATATGTGTGTGTATGCGAAGCAATCTAGGTGGTGCAGCCCATGTGGTAACATCTATAGTGTGCAATCTATACTGTGCGCGCTATGCGGTGCGACCTATGTGATGCAAGGCACCCTGCCGAACCCAAAGTTGTCAACCCCAATGCTCGCGCAACCATCTCGCCCACCCACCCGCAATTTGGTTTGCAACACCCATGCGGCGGCGATTGCGATGACTGCTCGGCGCTGGCTGGCACACCGCTGCGGCTGCGCTAGCGCGCGCAGGCTCGCGCGCAGAGCGGCCAGCTAGTCTGGCGCGACCGATGCCGCCGCGGTGGCGCCGATTGCTGGATAGTTTCCAAGCGCGTCTCGCAGGCCCAGCCGGCGCGCGGGCACTTCGGTGCGAGTCGGTGGCTCGGGCGGGTGCGGTATCGTGGCGACGTCGACCATGGCAGACACGATGATGGTAGAAGCGATGTTGGTGACGATGGTGACAATCACGGCGGCGCGGCCAATGACGGTGCCGATGTTCATCACGCTGGTGACGATGATGGTGTCCACGTGTCGGTGAGGAAGGTGGTGTTGGAAAACGGTTTCGTCGTGCGCGGGCGGCCGACGCGCGCGAGTTGCCCGCATGATTTACTTTGAAGGGGATCGCGCCCCCCCACCCGGCACGCGCGCAAGGACGCACGAATGATTCCGACATGTGCGAGCGAAGGGTCCGCTTGGTTGTGATGAGCACGTCGAAAACCGATGTTCTATAGGAATTCGCAAACGCGTAGCCTTTTTTTTTGTAACACCACGATGCAACGCCACTGTTCTTCTGCATGTTTTCGGGACAACCGTCGCGAAACCGCAAGCTGTCGAAAGATTTCGGCATGCGCGCGCCACGCCGCGAGCGTGTGGACTTTCTTTTTCTGTGCAAAGGATGTTTGCTGCAATTCTTTATTGTGTGGTGGACGAATGCGCACGCATAGTATTGTTTCGTTATTAAAGAGGGAGGGGGCCCGGCCTGATTGAGATGAGCGCGGAACCAGGGGCCGCGTTTGCGAGTTGAGCTAGTATGCGGGTGGGAGGTCGGATCGGACGACGGGACAAAAATGGAAGATCTGTTGTACGCAGTTGTTTCTGCCACAGGCTCTTCCGTCGCTGGAAGGTTTGGAAACACACTCTCTTCGGAGAGTCCCCCCGATCACTTGATCCGAGAGGAAGCGAAGCGAAGAAGCGAACACGGAAGGAGCAGGGTGGAATGGAGGAAGAGGAGGGGAGGACGAGGAGGAGGAGGAGGAGGCGGAGGTGGAGGGGGAGGAGGAGGGAGAAGGGGGAGGTGGAGGACGAAGAGCAGGAACGTTCCCTGGGCCTTTCTATCAAGGGGGGCTATAGGTCTGAGCAAATACCTGTGCAGCAACTGGGCGAACTCGAGCGACATATATTATTGCTACCACGGGGAACTCCGGCTCAAGAACGCAGGGGCGTTCTCACCCTTGGGACCCGCCCCAGCAGTGCGAGCCAAAGAAAAGCCAGGCACATTCCGATCGCCACAAAAGCCGACCTCCCATATGCAAACTCGCGCAGAGAATCTTAGCCCGGGGATGCAACATGATGACAGCAGGAACCACCCATGCCAATCATTGCCCGGGTATCCGAGTACAGGGGAGAGGGAAGGGGTAAGAGGAGGAGGAGGAGGAGGAGGAGGAGGAGGAGGAGGAGGAGGAGGATGGGGAGAATCTAGGCCTCCGAGATGAGGTCCGAGTGGATGGGGTCGAAAGATCGCTCCGCCTCGCCGATGTATTGGCGATGCGGCTCGATGTGGGGCCCGATCTTCTCCACGCCGTCGTCGCCGATGCGACGCCGACGTCGCCGATGCATCCTCGATGCGTCGTCGCATCAACGATCCATCGGCGATGCGGCGCGATTCTCCGACCGCATCGACTCGGGCCCCATCTGGGGGGCCTCTATCAACGGAGCGCTCCCTTTCGTCGGGGTCGGCCCCGCAGGCGCACATGCCCGTGCGCCACCTCGTGGTCAACAAGTGCTCCTTCCTCGGGGTCGGGGCCGCCGCGGGTACGGACGACGCCAGCCTGGCGCAGGCGGCCCTCGCGCGCCTCCCCGGACGCGCCGGGCAGGGTCAGCATGTAAGTCGGGCTTGTCCCTCTAGAGGAGGGATGTGCAAGAATGGTCAAATAGTGTGGTGACGATTCGTTAAGCTATGTCTGATTTGTTTGAGTATTGTTGGGACATGTTTACTCCTTCCTCCCAACATCCGCCTGTGTGAGGACATGCCCGACCTACGGTTAGCAGGCAGATGCGGGACGCGGAAACATGCATGTCGGCGGGTGAGCGATGTTTTTGTTCCCTCCCCAGGGTAGCGCTCGTTACCCTGCCCCCCCCTGGTAACGCTAACGCAATGATCGTACTGAGGGTGTGGCATGGACCCCCCCCCCCGCATGCTGTCATGTGCACAAGCAATTGATGCGCCAGAGGCGCGGACTCACCCTGGCGGGTGCACGCCGCGGCCGCCGTCACCGTTATCCTCCCGCTCGAACTCCCCTCCTGGTATCGACCGTTACCCGGGAAAGAAGGAGAACGGTCATGTGCAGGTCGGTGGCGGCTGCTAGTGCACTTGCCTGATACACGCGTCGACTTACAGTGCAAGTTCGCTCCGTCGCGTGCGCGATGACAAACGTTGGTTTGCCGCTGCCGCTGCTGATGTCGCCACCTAGCAGGGCTGAGCCCGCCTGGCACAGCGGTAGCTGTACAGGTGGCCGACAGGAATCGAACAGGAAAAACGACACAACCAGACATTTTCGGAACTCCGCGCGTAGTTCTTGGATCGGCGCTGGGCTCCCCTGGCGGCGCCTCCGCCGCAGCCCCTGGCGCGCTCCAGGGCGGCAGCGCCGATCCGAGAAGTCCGCGCAGACCGTCGAAGGCCTGTGTGCAGGCATTTCTTTCTTTCCAGGTTCAGGGCAGCCCCTCTGAGGGCCAGCGGGTCCGCCATGGCCGCGGCTGGCACCCGGCGCAGGTTGGTGATCAGGCGGGATGATGATCAGGAGTAGGGTATATTCGCGCCGTGCCCACGCGGCAGCGACCCCGCTGCGGCCGTTCAAGGTTGAACGCCGCCAGTGTCCCAGACTCGGCCAATACGGAACGATCTGGCGATCTAAAAGCCGCCGATTGAACCAACGCCCGGGTCGACACGACACGAACCCAAGGTACGAGAACGGCGGGGGCATCGGGAAGGAGGGGGGGAGAGCGGGCGAGAGGCCCCGACAGGGGCCCAAAGATCGCGTCCGAGAGGGGTCAGACAGCCGTTCCGGCGGCCCAGGACGACCCCGACCGAATCACCCCGAAGACGGCCTTCAGGTGTCTCAGACGGCTCCAAAGATGCTCGAGACGCTTCAAGAGACCCTCAAGACAGCCCTTGAGGTCCTCGGAAGATTCTCCAGGATACTTCCGACCGTCAACCAATGGGAGATCGATGAGTCTTGTCTTCTGTTGTTCTCGCCTCCGATGGGCTGCTGAGGCCACAAGCTCGCCCCCAGGAAAACCCCAAACGCCCCCCGAAAACGCCCAAGAGGCCCAAGGGGCCCCCTCAACGCCCTCCCTAGCCATTCTGGCTCAAGACTGACTGGTCCACTGCCTGCAAAGAAAATACCAGCATCGTTACTGCAGGTCTTCCAATCCTTCTTATCGCGCACGCACCATGCCGCGCCGCGGCCATGGCTCCGCCGGGATCGCGTGGGCCGCAGCGATTCTCTTGTCCTCCCGCGCTTGCGTCATTGCCGCCGCGCCGCCGCGCCAGTCGGGTTCGCTGGGCCTGTCCGATGTGCTGCGGGCCTTAAAAGGCGCGAGGGATACTGGCCCTGCGCCTGGCACGCAAGCCGAGTGACTTCAGCTCGGTCCTCGACGAATGGCCGGCGGCCGGCGGCCACGATTCTGCAACGGGCTTGCGCCATTCCGCCGACCCGCAGAAGAGGCAGGAAGTCCACGGGTGATGCCTTCGGGGCCTCTCGGGGGCCCTCTGGGGGCCTCTTTGGGGCCTCTTGGGGGCTTCATTGGGCCTCTCGGACTCGTCGGCGCCTGTGGGCGGTCTCGGGGGGCCTCTTGGGGTAGAGGGCTCAGAACGTCAGTTCTTGTTGCCTCTCTTGGGCCCCTGTTTGGTACTTTGGGGGGCCATCTTGGGCGCCTCTTGCGCCGCCTAGGAGCCCTCTTCGGCCGTCTTGGGGCCCTCTTGGTTGGCCGTCTTGGAGCGACCTTAGGGGCCTCTTGAGTTGTCCTGTCTCCTGCCGGTCGCAAAAATCATAATTTTCAGAACATGTACATTTTCTTCCGGGATTTGGACGATTCTTGCGGGGTCGTCTTGGAGGCGTCGTTGGCCATCTTGAAACCATTTTGGACCGTCGTGGGGCTACCTGGGGCCGTTTCGACGCTCTCTTGGATTGTCGCGGCGCTCTATTATTTGGGCTCTCGGCGGCCGTCTTGGGGCGTTTTTGGAAGGTTCTGGAGGCCCCAGGGGCGCGCTGGCGAGTTCGCACTCCCCTTAACGGGATTTCGGGCCCCAGGGGAGGGGGATATGGGGAGGGGGACAGCCAAATATCTCACACGTTTTTTTTTACCCCCGGCAAACGGATCTCGGCGGATTACTGTATCGTTGGTGTTTTCGGATAATTGGGTTTCGCCCTCTTATCTTGCTGGGAAGTGTACTCTTCTTGGTTGACATTGGTAATGTAGGCTTGCACCCCCACAATCGACTAGTATTCTCGCACACAGGTCAGCCGATGAGCTCATGGACATGAAAAGCGTGAACAACGCTAGAGGACATTATGGTTGCATTCGGTGAAAACATCGACACCGTCAGCTTCCTTTTTCTGGCTCACAAGTAGTCGTCGCAATTCCCTGCGGTGTCTTCGGCGCGTACGGAATGATAGTGCCGCAGCACGCTGTTGCTTCAGGCGGGCCAGCGCTCCGTGACGTCATGGTCCTTTATTTGCAAGCGCTCATCGCTGCCGCCGGCGCGGGCATCTCCATGGTGGATTACATTATTATCGCAGAAGGAGCGCGCGACCCCACGCTTGCAATTCACTCCTCGCCGCCAGCGGGCTTGCCCAGCAACGGCAATGACATTACTTGGTGTTTCGGAGATGTTTTCGCGGCGGAGCGCACGATCGGCACCGCCCGGTGCGACTTCGGCACCGCCGCGGTTGGAGCAGCTGGACTGGACGCCGCAGCCATGACCGGGCTCCAGACAGCCATGCTCGCGACCGCGCGCGCGTTCGCCGTCGCTTGCCCCGCGGCAGTCTCGCTCCAGAGAGGGTTGCGCCATGTGCGTGCGCGATGAGCCCGCAAAGAGATGGGAGAAGGCGAAAGGCGTTGCATCCCTCGCGCAGTCACAGCAGGCCGGGAGAAGCCGAAGGGCGCGCTATTCCCCCGCGCAACGTCAGACAACGAGCTGGAAGACATCGGAGGGCGCCCCGTCACTGACGCAGCGTCAGACAGCGCGCTGGGAGAGACCGACGGGCGTCATATCCGTTACGCAGCGTCAGACAGCGAGCTGGGAGAAGCCGACGGGCGGTTCATTTCGCGCAGCGTTAGACAGCGAGCTGGGAGAAACCGACAGGAGCCCCACCCCTCCGATCGCAAGACCCGAATCGCTGACCCGGATGGCCTGCGAAGTCAGGAAAGCCCAAATCTTGTGGTTCTACTAAGGTATATGGTTTCACGGGGATGCTTGGGATTCCCAGGATTCCTCAGGGTTCTGAGTGTTGCTCCACGATCTACTTCTTAGGAGCGGTAGGGGGATGGAACATACCATGGATCCCGCGCGTCCCAGTGAAGGCATTTGGTTCTTGGGATGAGCGCACCAGAAATCCCAATCGCCCCACTGAAATCATAGGTTGTCGGCCCCCTTGAAATCGCGAGCCCTGAATCCAATGAGCGCCTCGTTATTGGAGCCCTGGCGGGCTCCAGGGTGCTCAGTCGGAGGACAGGCAATCCCAGGAATCCCATGCATCCCAGCGGCTTCATGTGGTTTCTGGGATCAACTCAATATTCCAAGCACCCCAGTGAACTCAAAGGGTTTGGGCTTTTCTGACGTCGCGAACCACGCGAATTCATTGTGATGCGTAGGATTCGGAACCCTGGAGGGCCCCAGGAGGGATGTTAGTCGGAGGAAGGGCAACCGCAGGTTTTCCAACCATCCCAGCGAAATCAGATGCATTGGGATGCACCCAGAACCCCCGAACCTCCCGATGAAGTCGAAGGTTTTTGGTTTCCCTGGCTTCGCAAACCTTGCGAACTCACTGCGGTGCTTTGGGCTGCCCTGACGTCGCGAAGCTTGTGAATTTATCGGGTCGCGTTGGATTCGGAGCCCTGGGGGGGGGAGGGGAGGTCCAGGGTAGAGTTTTTGTCAGAGGGCAGGGAATCCGAGGAATTCCACGCATCCATGTGCGTGTGTGTATGTGTGTATGTATGTATGTATGTATGTATGTATGTATGTATGTATGTATGTGTGTGTGTATGTATATATGTATGTATGTATGTATGTATGTATGTATGTATGTATGTATGTATGTATGTATGTATGTATGTATGTATATATGTATGCATATATATATATATATATATATGTATATGTATATGTATATGTAGATGTATATGTATATGTATATGTGTGCATATATATATATATATATATATGTAGATATATTGTTACAAACCCGGGCGGGGGGAAAACCCATCACCCCCCCCAAAAAAAAATAGACTCCCAGGATCTGGGGCTTTGAGACCCTCTGGGCGGGCCTCGAAGCGGCCCCCGGGCCTCACAGGGCGCGTTGCCAAGCCTTCCCAGCACACCTAGGGCGATCAGAGGGGGTCATCGGAGACGCCCCAGAGACCCCCAAGACAGCACAAGAGCGCTCCAAGACTGACTGACGTGACGTCAAGATGGCCCAAAAGGCCTCCAGGACGGCCCCAAAAGGAGCATTCCCAAGAAGGCCCCAAAAGGCACAAATCTTTGATTTTCTGATGGTTTTTGCTGAATGTTGGGGTTCTCCTGTTTTCGGCTTCCCGACGCTCCAAGACGGCGGTCTTCTGGGCGTCCGAAGCCGCCTGGGAGGCTCCAGCATCGCCCCACAACCATCCGAAAGGGCTTCCAGGTAGTCCAAGAGAGCCCCAAAACGGCACAACACGGGTCCAAGATGGCCCTCAGAGAACCCCATGGCGGCCCAAGATGGTCCCAAGACACTCTCCGACGCATTCCAAATCGTGACCCGGTCATTCAGGGAGACCGCGGTTGGAGGCAGGGTGGCCCGAGGAACTCCCCAGAGGCCCCAGAATACGCCCAAGAGGCCGCCAGAAGGCCTTAAGAAAGCTTGAAACAACTTTTGCGAGGCCCCCAGAGGCTCTCCAAGGAGGATCCTCCGCAAAAAAAAGAGCAGAGGAGGATGGAGAGAATGCACAGGGTACGGCGAAAATAAGGAAAAAGAAGCATGGAGGAAGAATAACGAATAACATTATTATAGCGGCGATGCCGGAAAAAGGCAACAAGGAGCTATCTCTAAATTGTCGGCTGGACCTTCCTGCTGTTCCGCTTGCGTATCAAACTTCAAGGACCAAGGTGCATGGCGCGAAGCGCCACTGCAGTCTTGTATGTATGTGTATATATACATACATATGTATATATATATATATATATATATATATATACATATATATATAGATATGTTATGGGCGCTCGGGCATTCCCGTGCCTTTTTTTGGCCTTTGTCAAGGGTCGTCTCCCTCCTCGTTCTCTCCCCCCCCCTCTCGTCCGCCTTCATCCTCCCTTCCCCGTCCTCCCTTTTTTACAACGGCAAGGGAAAACAAAGAAACCACGCGGACAAACCAACAACCGCATAAATCAAAGGTGGATCGCCGAACAAAAATGTAACAACCCAGCAACGCATCAAACCAAATATTTCATCACTTTCCCTTGAGGGGGGCGCGGGGGGGGGGGGGACGAAGCCTTGATTTTTTTTTGGGGGGGGGGTATTCCTTTTTTTTGGGGGGGTTCAGCGATCTAGGGAGTTCAAGGAGACCGTGCAGTCGCGCGCCCGCATGGGCGCAATGGTGGTGTACGACGGGTGGACCTCCACTGATGCCGCGGTCCAGGAGTTGGGCTACGAGCGCCCCCCGCCCGTCCGCCACGAGGGGAACGCGCGCCGCGACAAAGAGACGGGCTTCCACACTAACGACGCTGAGAGCGAGAATTCCAGGCTGAAGGCGTGGATCCGCTCGCGGCACGGGAAGCTGAACATCGCCCCAGGCGACGTGGACGAATGCATCTACTACATCAGCATGGGCAGCGGCGTAGGCAAATTCCTGGATGGTCTGGCGCACTCGATTGATTTCGCCGCGAAGAATCAGCTTTTCGGATGAGCTGTGGGCGGCGCGGGACAGAAACATGCATTATGAAACGGCTATGCCGACGGAGGCAAACAGACAAGCGCTCTCAGCCCTGCCTCGCCAGGCGCCCCCCCCCCCCCCCCACAGGTGCGGGAATACCCGGGCACCCATATATGATATGACACACATATATATAACATAATACATACATACATACATACATACATACATACATACATGCATGCATGCATGCATGCATGCATACATACATACATACATACATACATATGTGTATATATATATATATATATATACATCGGGGTACTGGGGGCGGGGGCCCTCGCCCAGCTGCCCCCAGTCGCCGCGGTGGCCTCAGGTCCCCCAGAGAGTCCCGGCCGGGAGCAGAAGGCCCGCGTTTTTTTGGCGTTGCGCTGTTTGTTTTCCTTCCGACGGAGGCGAGAGGACGACTTTCCCTGCCCAGGCCGCCCTGCCACGACTCATCGGCCCCATGCGCTGGAAGCTCATAAGGGCGTGTCTATCGTTGCCAGTTCTGTAGAGGGTCAGGTGTTCCCTCGGGAACAAACTGATGAAGTTAGGGGAAACGAGTGCGCGGTCTCACTGAAGTTTCCGCGACCCCCCCCCTGGCACGGAGCCGCACGCTCGCGGCCCGCGCGCAGCGCGCTCGCCAGGACGCGGGTGTTTCTGCAGGCCGTGAGGCTTCCAAGCTCTGGCGAGACGGGAGGCCGGGGGGCGGGTGGGCAAGGCTCGTTTTGACTCTTCCGATTCGGTGCGGTTCGATGTCGACGGCTTCCGATTCCGATTCGATTCGGCTTCGGATTCGGCTTAGGTATCCGATTCTTCAATGGTCGCCTGATAGCGTGCCGATTTCTGCCGATTCGATGTTTCCCGGCTCGGCTGCCGATGTTCTCCGATCCGATTCATGTCGATCGCCGGGTCGACCCGGCGATCCGATTTTGGGCTCTCCTGGGCGGGGGGGGCGTTTTGGAGCGATGGACTGGAGGTGTCGCGGCCCGTCCGCGTGGTCTTCTCGAATGCGCCAGAATAGCCTGGTCTGTCAGAGTCTCGGCTTGCGTGGCGCTGGGACGCCACAGGGCTCCCTTCCTTGGGTGCTGAGCCGACCTAGAGTCAGACGTCTGGATAGGAGTTGGTATGGGTACGATGTTGGGCAAAGCTACCCTCGTACACGACATGCTGGGCAGCACGGCCGTACGCATGAACCCGGGCAAGGCTACCGGCTCGCAGTGGTTGTCTGTTTTGGTACCCTCCACCCCGCCTTCCTGTTTATTGGTCCATGCTTTGGGATTGGTTATGATTCCTTTTGCTATTCGATCTGGCGGGTGCCCTCGCTGGACAGGGCCACGTTCGGCGCTCACTCCTCTTCAAGTGCCCCATCCGATTCACAAGGGTGATGCCTACCTTTACCGGCATCAGCACTGAACTGCCATTTTCCTCCGTGCCCGTCGACACCAGATTTCTGGCCCGATGAGCCCCATGAACCCTATAAGCCGCACGGGCTCTAGGGGCCTTATGAACCCTATGAAACCAATGAGCCCGAAGAGCCTTGTGAGCCTCACGGGCCCAGGGGGCCCTACGGGGCCTATGCCGATTCTGGGCTTCATGAGGCGTACGAGCCCTATGAGCCCTATCAGTCTCATGGGCCCCACGGCCCATGCGACCCCTGAGGGCCTCAAGAACCCTATGAGCCCCGTCGGCCCTGAGAGCCTTATGACCCCGACGATCCGTTCTGACCTTTGTGAGCCCCTTGGGCTACAATGACCCTTATGAGTCCCATGAAACTCACAAGCCCTGTGAGCCGACTTCCCCTATGGAACCCAAGAGCCAGTGGCTTCTGTGAGGCCAAGGACCCTACGATCCTCCACGCCAAATGAGCTCATCAGCCCGAGAAACCATCTGAACTCTTGTACGGCTGCGGGCTCCTGGAACCTCAGCGCGTCTCCCTGGCGCCATGCGACCAAGCGTTAAACAGGCGAAGCGAAGCGAGCCTGTACAAGCTTTTGTGTATGTATGTCGGTAGGTACGTAAGTAAGTGTGTATGCATGTGTGTATGTCTCTCTGTCAATCTCTGTCTGTCCGTCTGTCTGTCTGTCTGTCTGTCTGTCTGTCTGTCTGTCTGTATGTCTGTCTGTGTGTCTGTATATGCATGAGAAAGCGTGATCCACCGCCGCTTGACTGTGGAAAATTCTCCCCCTCTTCCTCTGGAGCCCGGGGGCCCCCCCCGCCCTCCGAAAATCGCCCCCCCCCTCCTGCTGGACCCCTCCCCCCCCCTCCCCTCCCCTCCCCCGGCAAACCCCCCCCCCCCCCCTCGAAAACTGGGGTGGTCACTACCAGTTCGAACCCCCCCCCCTCCCTCCCTCGAAAACCGGAGGGGGTCACTAACGGTTCGAACTCCTCCCCCCCCGTCACCGCCAGCAAACGACTCCCGGTCCCTACCCCACCGTCCGCACCACATCCCCCAGTGTTGTTCCCAGCGCCATTGTCCTCACCACCACTGTCCCGACTGGTTCCACCACCGTCCCTACTGTCCCCACCAGTGCCCCCACCACTGTCGCACTGTCCCCACTGTCCCCACCACTGTTCCCACCACGGTTCCACTCTCTCCACTTTCTCCACGGCCCTAACCATTGCCCGAGTATCCCCTCTGTCCCCACCGTCCCACTGACTCCTCCGCTGTCCCCTTGAGCTGTCCCACTGTTCCCACCACTGTCCCCACTGTCCCCACCACTGTCCCCACCATTGTCCCCACTGTACCTCTGTCCCATTGTCCCACCGCCGTCCTCGCCACCGCCTTCACCACTGTCACCACCACCACTGTACCCTCCACTGTCCCACTGTTTCCACCACATTCCCACTGTCCCGACACCACTGTCCCCACCACCACCGTCCCCACCACTGTCCCACTGTCCCCACTGTTGCCACCGTTGTCCTCACCTCTGTCCCCACCACAACCGTCCCCACCACTGTCCCATTGTCCCCACCACTGTCCCGCTGTCCCCTCACCACAGTCCCCACCACCACCGTCCCCACCACTGTCCGCACCCCCCCCCCGGTTTTCGAGGGGGGGGGGGTCGAACCGGCAGTGACCCCCCCAGGTTTTCGAGGGGGGGGGATTCGAACCGGTAATGACCCCCCCCCCCCTTTTCATGATGGACGGGGGGGGTTCGAACCGGTAGTGACCCCTCCCCGGTTTTCCGGAGGTGTGGGGGGGGAGGTTCGAACCGGTAGTGACCCCCCCCGCTTTTCCGCCAGGAGCGGTAGAACACGCTCTGTCATATGTTTGTATGTATGTTTGTACGTATGCATTCATGTATGTATGCATGCATGCATGCATGTATGTATGTATGTATGTATGTATGTATGTATGTATGTATGTATGTGCATGTATGCATGTATGCATGTTTGTAAGTCTGCATGCATGTATACCGGTATGTATGTTTGTATGTACGTGTGTCTGCCTGTTTGTATGGCTGTGTGTACTGTGTGTATGTGTATATGTGTGTATTTGCATGTGCGTGAACATTTGCATGTATACTTGTATTCGTACGTGTTCACATAGATCTCTGTGTGTGCGTGCTGCTGCTGTTCCTATCCCAAACACCCCTCCCTGCTCTCGTCCCCCTCCTCGCTATCTCGCCCCCGCATTCCCTCCCCTCGTTGCCCCCCCCCCCTCTCTCTCACACCCGCCTCGGCCTCCCTCCCCTCCTCGCTCGTCATCCTGCCCTTGCCCCCCTTCCCGCACCGCGGCTGGCATTGTCGGCGACACATGGCACATCACAGAACAGTGCAGTCCCCGCTTCGGTCTCCCGCTCCTCTGTTCGCACCCGACCTCTCCCGCCATCCCGCGCGCTGTCCTCGGCCGCTCTGCGTTCCCGCAATGGCGTATCCCTCCCTCTGCCCTACTCCCTCGAGACAAGTTGTAGGTATGTGAGTATGTATGTACATTTGCATACACATGTTTCCGTTATCACGTGCCCCTCTGATCATATCCCACATGAGCTTTTTGTGTGGTCCCCCCTCTTTCTCTCATGGACATCCCCGCCTGCTTTTGCGGCGTTATATTTACCTTTGTAAGCTGATTCCCTCTGCGCGGAGATGGCATCGCAGAAGCTGTCGCGCGCGGACGCCAAGAAGCTTGAGGATTGTTGCCGTTCTGGTCGCAAGCATCTCGTTCCCACCCCATCCTCGGTGCTTTCCACTGCTTGCTTGTTCTCCATGCTTCCACTCCACATTCGGTTCATCCCTCGTTTCGAATGGATCGCGTGTTGGCTTTTCCGCCCGCCTCTTCCCGTGCCGTCCAGGTACGCGTATTTCCTGTATGCGTCTTTCGTTTTTCTTTTTGTTTGTTCATGTCGGTTCGCCCCCCTGGGGACTTGCCAAGCCTGCAACTTGTGGTCTCTATCCTGAGCCCCTGGGGAACCAGGAATATGGTGATCTAGTAGTCTTCAGCCCATCGCGCCACCGCGTTTGGATTGTGGGCCAGGGTCCTCTTGCATGCGTCTTGGGGTTTCTTCAGATGCCGCTTGGGAGCCTCTCGAAGGCCCCCTGGGCCGTCTTCGGCACCGCTTGGGCGCATCTCGGCGGCCCATTGGGCGGCTTTTGGGGCCTCTTCGCAGCCTCACGGAGGCCTCCTGGGCCGCTTGGGTGCCCCTGGTTGCCTGTGTGGGGCCTCTTGGCGGTCTCGGGGGCCATCCTGGCACTAGGGAGCTCACAGGAGCCAGTCCGTGTTCCCCTCTCTGGGGCTGGAAACGTAAAAAGGCATGTTGTTCCGTGATTGTTGATTTCGGGAACAGTGATGTGGAACCCATCGGGGGGCGCCGCCTGGAAATCGGGGCCCTGTGGCCCAGAGCTTGGGCGGTCAATGATGGGAGTAATGGCTTCAGGGGTTGGACCTCATGGCCGGGGCCACGATGCCCCCCCTGGATATCAGGGCGACCTCTTCGTCTTCATCTTCTTCTTCATCATCATTCTCCTCATCTTCATCACCACCATCACCACAACCATCACCATCACCATCACTGTCAGCATCAGCATCAGCACCATCCTCCTCCTCATCTCCAATGTCTTCCAAAACGGCCCTTCCTCCTCCCCTCGTCCGCGCACATGCCTCGTTGCATGATTTGCGAGCCCCCCTCTTGGACGCCCCTCCTCTTGGACGCTCCCGAAGCGTGTCCAGCTGCCTGCGGCAAATCCCGCCACCGTCCGTCCAACAGTTCCAGTGACAGCGTAATGAGGATGATGATGATGATGGTGGTGGTGGCGGTGTTTGTGGTGTTGCTGATGGTGATGATGAGTATGATCTTGATGTTGATGATGGTTATGATGCTGATGCTGATGGTGATCATCATCATCATCATCATCATCATCATCATCATCATCATCATCATCATCATCATCATCATCATCATAATCATAATCATAATCATAATCATAATCATCATCAGCATCAGCATCATCATCATCATCATCATCATGCTGATTATGATGATGCAGATGCTGATGTTAGTGCTGATGCTGATGATGGTGCTGATGATGCTGCTGATGACGATGAGGATGGGGATGATGATTATGATAATGATGATGATGATGATGATGATGATGATGATGATGATGATGATGATGATGATGATGATGATGATGATGATGATGATGATGATCATGATGGTAGTGATGGTGATGCGGATGAGGATTATGCTGAATATGATGATGTTCATGATGATGTTGCTGCTGTTGGCGATGCTGATGCTGATGATGATGATCGCGGTGGTGTTGATGATGGCGGTGATGATGGTGGTGATGATGCTGCTGGTGATGATGGTGATGCTGAGGCTGACGATGATGATGACGATGATGATGCTGATGATGAGGATGAGGATGATGATGCTGATGACGATGATGATGATGATGATGATGATGATGATGATGATGATGTTGATGCTGATGCTGATGCTGATGCTGATGATGATAATCATCACGATGATGATGATGCTGATGATGATGATGATGATGCTGATGGTGATGATGGTGATGATGATGATGATGATGATGATGATGATGATGACGATGATGACGATGATGATGAGGAGGAGGAGGAGGATGCTGATAATGATGATGCTGATGATGATGCTGATGGTCATGATAGGAGGAGAGGAGGACTAGGGCGAGGAGTAGTAGCAGCAGGAGGAGGAGGAGGAGGAGGAAGAATAGAATAGCCGTCACTTGTGACACGTCTGCACATCTTGAAGAGGTCTCATGGACCTCATTTCGGCCGTTTTCGGGGTGGCCTGTGCTCTTGCGGGGCAGCCTTGGGGGGCCGTTGCTTGGAGGCCTTCCTAGGCCGTCTTGGCTCTTTTGGCCGTCTGGAGGGAGTCTTGGGGCCGTCGTGGGGCCATCTTGGCGCCGTCTTGGGCCGTCGATGGGCCCTCCGAGGCCGTAGCAGCTCCCTCCGGAGGCCCTCCCTACGAAGTTCGGGACGCGGTTCAATGTTTTTTACGCGGGATCGTTGCCCAGGGAGCCGCGGGAGAGGGGGGTGGTGCATGCGGGTGGTGCATGCGGGGAATGCGGGTAGAGGGGGAGTGAGCTCTCACTAGAACGCGGAAACCCTTTCCAGACAGCCTTGAGTATTCTTCCACGCCTCAGCGTGCACAAGGCACTTTTGCGGATACGGTCGGCCCGAGGTATCAAATCGAGGTCGGTTCGGGGAGGGCACCACCATGTTCTTCGTGTTTGCTGGATGTTCTTGTGCATCCTGGGGGAGGGTGCCCTCACGTGATCCTATGGTGTAATGGCAGTCGGAGGGTTCATGTTCTTGAAGGATGTTCTTCTGTCCTAGATCGGCCGTGCAGCTGCGTGTGGCAAACCCCGCCGGGGCTGGCCGCGCCACACGCTCGGGGCGTGACCCGTCCCCCTGAGCAGCTCGCTTCTCCCGCCCCCCTTTCGGCCGCGCCCTCCTCCTCCTCCTCCTCCTCCTCCTCCTCCTCCTCCTCCTCCTCCTCCTCCTCCTCCTCTTGCATGGAGGTGCCATTCACCATAATGGCACCCCCGTTCAGACCTTTCAGCTGGCGCAGTCTTTCCTTTACCTCGCCGCCGACGCCACAACAAGCGGCTGCAGGATCTCCCTCTCTCCTATAGATCGACCGTGAGGCTGCGTGTGGCAAACCCCGCCGCTGTGCCGGCGCCAGGAGCTCTGCGGCGCGCCCGCGGCCGAGCTGGACGCCCTGCACCGGCTGGTCGGCCGACTGGAGCGCCAGGCGCGTGCCCACCGACGCCGCCCGCGGCATTTGTCAGGCCGATTGAAAGGGGGGGAATCGGGAAAGGGGGGGGGGGGACGAAATCTGCTGCACGCAGCTGGTTTCGGCCCCGCCGCGGGGCCCACTTCTCGACACATTGGCGCCTCCCGTCGCCGGGAGGCGCTGGGAAAATCAGCTACGTGAGCCGATTCTCCACCCTGCCCTTTGCTATCCCCCCCTTTCGGTTGCTTCGACTTTGAGGCCGCGGGTGATTTGCCTGGCTGGGGCTGACCCTCCGATGGGGGGAGAAGTTTGACTCTTGGGAGTCAGAGGAGGAAGGGGGTACCCATCCGTACCCTTCCCTCGTTTTCCCTTGTGGGGGGCCTCCTGGGAGGCACATGGAGGCACTCGTCGCCACCGCTGGATTCGCTTCGAAATCCTGGTCAGAGCGCACCCCGGGAGAGGTCCGCGGAGTAGCGGTATTGGTGCATTTTGGTTTCCCCATGGGAGGGCCAATCCTGCATCGGCGTTGGTATGCCCGCGGTCGAGAGCCAGCCCAGTTTGGCACAGTCCCGTTTCATCCGCTCCAATCTTGTTCAATCTGGCTCAGTCCCAGGCTCAAGTCTGGCCTCATCGGGCTGAGGCCCTGTCATGGGGTTGGACAGTCCCTACACCTCCCAGGAGTTGCTTCCTGAGAGCACGTACGCACCGCATAATTGTTCCAGTTGCGTTGACGCGGCTGCGAACGGTCGCCGCGGGCATTCAAGCTTGAACGCCGCTTGTGGCCCAGAATCAGCCAAAATGGAACGACCTTGCGATCGAAAAGCTGCCGATCGTTCAGGGTTTACCGGTCCACGCAGTGTCAACAACTAACGCCATGGTAGTCACATCACAGACCAGCCATACCGATACCGCTGCTCGTTCTGGAGAGTCATCGTCGCCGTCGTCGTCGGATGGCGGGTGTGATAGTGGGAACGAGCCGAGGAGCCTTAATGAGAGCGGCTACGCAATTGCAGGTAGTTCACACCAGTACTCTTCTTTGGCTGAGATTCCTAAGTTGTATTGTGCTTTACTTGTCGGTTTCTGGTGTGGCTAGAGCAATTCGACACGCAATGTTTCGATTGGTCGAGTAAGGATGAGGATCCTGATTTGATATTCTTTCTTACGATTGCTCCGCTCGAGCTCCTATCTTTGTATGCTGACGCTGATGCCATTTTGCTCTGAAGTTGGAGGGCCCGCACTCCTTCAGGGGGGTATGGGAATGCAAGGCTCGCCGTGCTGGTGCCTCCTGCTTCCTTCTGTGCCCCCTGAGTGCCAGACACGGCAATGTCCAGATCGAGTCTAGCTGTCGATCCTGCTTCTCCCTCCAGTCGAACGTAGCGCATGCACGGACGCAGCAGGGCGTTCGCACGGAACGGCTACAGGGATTCATCACTATCGCAGCTCTGGTCAGTTTCTTTGTAGTTCCCCCTGCCTTGACCACGTGCACTGTATGGAGTCTCCGACCTCACTTGTTCCAGCTGCCGTGTAGCGGCTCGCCCGCTTGTCCTCCTCTTTCCCCTGCAGCTCGTCCCCCCGTTCCCCCCCCCCCCTCCCTTGGAGAAGTCCCGGTCTTTCCCCTACCATGCCAACATCGGGGGCCCCCAAACGGTGTGGTGACCTCACCGTGCGGTGAGTCGGTGAGGATTCGGGGTCACCGCACGGTTTTGGGACTCGGGTCGTTCTCCGAGGACGTCTCGGGCGACTGGGGCCTCCGAGGTCCCAAGACCGTGCGGTGACGGACCGTGCGGTGAGGTCTTGGGGGATTTCGAGGTCACCGCACGGTCTGTCACCGCACCGCTTCGGGACTCCAAACAACAGGCGACTCCTCAAGACATTGTCGGCATCCAGTTGGATGGATTGGGGGATTGACTTGCGCCTCATGGTGAGTGCGTGGACGTCGGGAGGCATGCGGGGAAGGGGATCGCCGATCCGCATGCCGGATGGGTTGACCAATTATTCTTGAGCCCGCGGGGCACGTAGCGCGCTGACGCGATGCTCATACTCAGCGCTCGTTCGTTCGTTCCGCATGCTGGATGCGCTTTGTCATGGATACTTAATTTGAATGCGGCTTCCAGCACGCGGATGCCCGGAAGCAGCTCGCCATTCTGGAGGACGAGGCCGGACAGCCGTTATCATCGAACCATGTTTGCTTCACGTTTCTTTGGTTGTTCTTTGCCCAACGTTGCCATTCCACTTCATCTTTGCATCCTGATTTTCGCGGGGCCTGCCATCCTCTTGCATTCGCATTGTTCTCGGGTTAACCGAGATATCGACGACAAGCAATGACTCAGATGACGCCGTGTAGGAACGTGCAACCAGATCCGCGCAAAGACACCCCATCGGGAAGTCAACTGCTGGCAGCCCTGGTTGCCGCGCTTTTAGATACTTGAGAACCCCAAACGACCATGATTCTTGCGATGTTCTCTCGGCAATGGCGTGCCCATTCGGCGATCTGCAAACGCACCAGCTTGCTACCGTTTGGGTCATCACACCTGCCTGCGCTCCGAGTCAGACAATGGGGCTCATCCTGCAAGGGCAGATTGTGCGGACCCCTTGGGCGACATCTTGCTCGGGGTCCCCCGATTTTCGCGTGTCGCAGAACACCTGACATTCGGGAATGGCCTTCGAAGACATAGGTGCATCGCAAGGAATGTCAGAAATGGGATTTGGGAGATCTCTTGGAGCGAAGGTCGAGTACCCGACAGTTTCTCCTGGAGGGGGCGCAGTACGAGTCCTGGATGAGGTCCCGGGAAGGGCCTGAGAGAGGTTTGCGAGTTGACCAATGTGCCCTGTGACGTGTTGGAGAGATTCTTGGATGTACTCGCAGGAATACCCTTACAAACAGTGCGGCGCGTGCCATCAACCTCCTGGGCGCCCATACGGGGCCGAAGTAGATGGGGTCGGCGCATCGCCGACGCATCGCAGGTTCATCGGCGATGCGCCGCGATGTGGAGCCCGACTGCCTCCACCCCGGCGCCACAGCCGCATCGCCGACGCATCCGCGATGTGGAGCAAGTCCGCCGACCCCATCTGCTCCAGACGTGCGGGGGGCGGCATCCGCAGCTGCTGGGTCGCCGCTCGCTCTGCTCTCGCAAGGTTGGCCCAGGGGTTCAGATTCTGCGGGTGCCCGTCTTCGACGAGGAGCTCACGGGCGTCGCTGCTCTCGACAGGCGGGGACCGCTTTCCTTCCCGCTGGCTGATGCCCATCCCTGTATCTCCCTCTCTTCCTCTCTCTCTCTCTCTCTCTCGTTGCCCAGCTTGTCTCAAGCATATCGAAACCTTTCGTGTTGCTTGAGACTTGTCGTGGATTGATTATACTCGAACAGAAGCCCGGTCCATGGCCAGGATTCTGCGAATGCAGTACGTACACGGGGAGAGGGGTGCGGGCACAGGCTGACGATCTCGGAGCCGCGTCCTGCTCATATGTTGTCCGACCCTTTCTTCGAAGGTTGCGACAATGCAGTTCCCCACGGTACGCATTGAGCTGAATTATGCGACAGTAATAGCCACTGTGGAGCCGCCGCCACCCAGAAGTTGTACATTAGGGTTCCGTGTCGTTCGGAGCGCGTGCGCGAAGTCGTACGCGAGGGTATATGTTTTTTGTTTTGTTATAATTCCTCCCCACTCTACGGGCGGCAGGAGGCAGAATAAGACAGAAGACACGAGGCACCAGCTACATATCAGTCCAGCAACGGCATTCGCAGCCAGGTGGCCCGACGGGCACCTGGCAGGTGATGCATGCGCGAGCGGAAGGTGGAACATCAGGTGAAGTGCATGAGCCGCTAGTGATTTCTGGCGGGCATCTGGGTAGTTTGGTGTGGCCTTCTGCCGCGTTTGTGTTGTCGACGAGGAGGACGGAATAATTTTGTAGATTTGGAGGTGGAGTTATTGTAGTGGCCTTCGGCCAGTGCCGCCGATCCGGGTCGCTCGGTGTTATTCTCCAGACGCAGACATTATGGGCGCACACTCAAACGCACAAACTTCTCGGGTTACCTTCGAAAGGGCGTAGGAATGCAGTTGGGTCAATAGAGCCATCTCGCAACAGTGGTTCTATCAACGGCGGGGTGCTTGCAGTGACCGTGGGGACGGGAAATAATCATGACATGAAAATTCCATACAGGATGCCGATCACTTTGGAAACTCACGATACGTCGTGCACGGAGTCGTGTTACGAAACATGTGGCCTGGACGATGTGGTGCGAGCGGTGGAGGCGAGCCTATCGGCGCAAGGACGCCCTCTTGGGGCGTTTTTTGAGCCATCTTAGGAGCCTGTCAGGGCGTTGTGGGGGCTTCTTGGGGGCTTTCGGGGGCCCTCTTGGAGGCTCTTGGGGCCTCCTGGGGGCCTCGTGGGCTGGAAGGCTAGTTTTTTTCCGCTTTTCGTCCCTCTTTTGGGTCCTCTTGGGGCCGTCTTGTGGGCCTGTTGGGCCGTCTTAGGCGGCTCTTGGGCCGCCTTGGGGCCCTCTTGGGTCGTCTTGGGACTGTCTGGGGGCCTCCTGGGCCGTCTTCGAGCGGTCTTGGGGGCCTCTTGGGCCGTCTTGGAGCGTCGGAAAGCCGAAAAAAGCGACAACCCCAAAAACATTGAAAAAAACAATGGGAATCAACGATTTTTGCCTCTGGGGGCCATGGTGGGAGGCCTCTTGGAGGCCTCTTCAGACGTCGTGGAAGGCTCTTGGGCCGTCTTGGGGCCATCTTGGGCGTGTTCGGGCGATCCTTCGGGGTCTCGGGACTTTTGTAGACCGTCCTCAGAGACTTTTGCGGCCGCGGCCACCCTTCCAGCGCATCCTCGAGATTAGAGCCTTCTGTAAAAGCAGCGCCCCGCATCCGCCGGAAACTCGCACCCCCCCCCCCCATCCCCCCTTCCCCGGCAGAGCCACCCCGGCAACCCCCCCAGAGGCTGAGGCTCAGCCTCGAGGCTGTAGCTGAGACTCCTTGAAACTCACACGCCGGATCGGCGGATATCAGCGCCAGTGGCAGGCCACTGATTTACTCCTGGTCCGTGGATTCCTGACAGGTCGTCTTGTCCACGATTCTCTCCAGAAGAGATCAGAAACACAGCTCGAAGTTTTCCGGCTGGTACCGCAGCCAGCTTTGACAATTGTTGTCCCAGGCACTTCACCATGATCGATGACGCTTGGCTGGAGGTGCTCGCCTCGATCTACCAGGCCTCCGAGGCTATAGGCGTTCTTCCAGAGCAAATTTGTTGGATTCAGATGTCGATGCTAGCCGAACCAAGTGGTGGCAACACATTGTTTGTATTGTACGCAGGCACGTGCAGAATCTGGCAGCGAGCTCGTCGCCCTTTCCTCAAGTTTATGCACGACGCCTTGGACAGGAAATGCTGGGGAGCCAGCAAAGGCAGGTCCGCCATAGTCTGTGCGTGGGTTCAAGCTGCCAAGACTGAGAGCGACCAGCTTTCATATCGATATGGCGTCGTTTTCGTCGCGGACTGGTCTAAGCACTATGGGCCGACTCCGCTTCGGTCGCTCAAGCATACGTTTCTTCGGCATGGTGCTCCCACTTGCTGGCTCAAGCTAGTCACTAACATGTGGGCCGGTCCGTGCATCGTCCGACCCGACAGGCACCATGCGCAGAAAGTTATGTTTGCCAAGTTCGGCCTTCCCGCCGGAGATGCCTACAGCGTCCTGGGCATCAAAGTTCACCCAGTCGATGAGTTGATTCGTTCGTTCAGAAGGCTCTGGTCAACTTCCAGAACTGCAGCGACGACAGTGGCCTGCACAACGCGCCGAGTGATTTTGACATCGCCAAAGGAGTGGCCGTGGACGCCGCCAACCACTTCCGCATTGCGAGCGCCAACCTCAGCGCTGGCCTCAATCAGGACAAGATCGCGGTCCTGGCTACATCCGACGAGCTGGCCCACGCAGTGTGCGACGAAGTCGGCTTCTCCAGGAGCGTATGCAAGTCGTAAGTCGTCTGTATCCTACCTTGGAGTTGATGAATCAACTGGGCGCCGACGGCATACCGAGCAAGTTCGAGTGAAACAGCGATCGCGTTTTACAGCCATTGTTGAAAACATCGTAAGGCCAGAACTTTCCGAGGCGTTTCAAAAGGCCCCAAGGGGACCCCCCTTGAAGAATGGTCACAAGCTCGGGATCGTTCCTGCGAGTAGTTTTGGGTTTGAAGTTTTGTGTTTAAGTGCTTCGGAATGGCTCAGCCATCAGAGACCTGTAGCTCAATGTGATTCTCCATCCTACGGAGGTGTCTCCTTGCCTGGGTAAAGTTGATTCAATATGCGATAGTAGCTCTAAGCTCGCTACGGCGCCCGCTATCCAATTGTGTAGGGTGTGCTGGAATGCAGTGTGTCGCCCAAAGCTCTGTCTCACTAGTATGCCTAACTTCTGAGACTTTGGGAGCTTTCGAGGCCGTCAGAGTGTAACGATCGGCGCCACTCCAGAGAACCCCTAGCCAGAGCCGCGATTTGCCTCGGGCGTGCTGGTTGGCGGGCTAAGGGACGTCCGAGATGGTTTGACCATAACAATGTACACATTGACCTAGCCTCGACCGAACCAGAGCCACACCCGACTTGATCAAGGACCGGGTCGAGCCCAAGGCTCACACATTTTCCCAGTACCATAGGTATCTGATGAAGAGCTGTGCTTGTAACTGATTGTGGGACAACGATCGAGCGCAGCGCGCGGGCTACTTATGCGACCGTCTGTGCGATTGCGGGGAGCGGGGCACAATCCATCACAGGCTCTACACTTGCCAGTCAGCGAGAGTCGTAGAAGCACGTCAGAATGCCGAGGTACCTCCTGAGTTTCTGGACGTAGCCAGAGACAACCCAGAGGTGCCCATCTTCACGGGCTGAGTTTCCACGTGCCGAGACGGTCAGTTGCCAACGCCATCTGCGTCGTTTGGGTGTCATGTGCTCGATGGCAATGGCGACCCACTCGACATGCAACCATCTCACATTCCCGCTTTCACTGCTGCTTCCTCTCCGTCTCGCTTTCGACGGCGCGTGCTGCAAGCAGCTATTCCGCCCATTTCGCCGTGCGTCTTGGGTCATCGCAGTCTGCCCAGACGAAGGCGAAGACCCTTTTGCTATCATGTGGGGGGTTGTGCGTGGACAGCTCCCACAGACCCCCGCGATGGCGGAACACGTTGCCATCGCACTATGTGGGCAGGTGGCTACGAGAGGGGCAGTCCTTGTTTTACACTGCTTACCAGCAGTGCGCATATGTCAGCAGCAAGCTAGTTGCGCGCCAGCAGTCCGTTTCCAGCAAATGCGCAAGTGTTCGCAGTTTTGCCCTCCAGCCGGAGGGAACCCCTTTCATCTAGCCAGTGCAGCATGTCAAAGCGCACCGCTCTGAAGGGGCCACGGCAGAGCTAGATGGCGATGATCGGGTGTTCGGTTTTGCGAACGCGGCGGTGGACAGGCAGGCCAAGGTCGCCCTAGACCAGCACCCCAGCCCGACGCCCGAGTTTACGTTTGATCCGGGTTTGGCGGCTCAACGGGCCTCGTGGTTCTGCGTTGTGCCGCGGAGGTCTTGCCCAAGTTTCAAGACGGTGTCCGTTGGACCCGGGCCCACAAAGTTGTTTCGGGCCGAACGCGCAGGCCAGCGACCTGGCACGACTGGGGCGAAAGGGGAGCTAGGCGTACAGTGACGTTTTTGCTTGGCCCTCGCCGAGGGGGGCCCTGGCCGGCTCCCGATGGACGGATGCCCAGGTCTGCCCACTGCGTTGAAAAAGGCTGCTCGGGCTGGGGCCCTGTCTCGTGAAACTGATGCTCCCGGCCCGTCCGCGACGTGTCGCCTCGCGTCACGTGAGCAGCACACCGTTTGTTTACTCGGCCGTAGATGCGGGCCGTCGACGAGAAAGGGGTTAGAGGCCTTCGGGAGGCTCAGACAGGGCAAGTGCCAGAATCGTCGCGTCCAGGCGCTGCCGTTGTCGTCGTTTGCTGCTTCCGACGCAACCCCCATGACCTCGAGCGCCCCATCTGTTGTCCGGGCTCGTTTTTCGGCCTCGGATTCGGCCCCTTCCTATGAGCAGAGAGTGTCTGCACGGGTAGAACGAATACGTTTGAAGGGGCAGGGCTCAGCCAATTCTTCTCAGGGATATTTTGGGCCTCCAGAGTCGGTCAGCCGACCCTAGTCTGAGCGTCCCTCTTCCCCAACCCTTCCGCAGTGCCGTGCACTCCCCTTTGGGCGTTTGTGTCATGTCATATCTTCCCCTGCTCCCCCTCCGTTGCCCTCTTCCTCCTCCTTCCCCTGTTCCTTCTTCCTCCCCTCTTCATCCCTCCCCTGTTCCTCCTCCTTCCCTCTTCCTCCTTCCACTTCCCTCTTCCTGTCCTTTCCCACCTCCCCCCTCCCGCGCTCACGGGGGCGAGGTAGGAAGGCACAGCAGGCGGAGGACCAGAGGAGCACGAACGAGAAGGAGGGCCAGGAAGAACACGCGGTGGAGGGAGCAGGCAAGAGAAGGACCAGCGTAGCACGGACGAGGGGCATGATGATGATGATGATGATGATGATGATGATGATGATGATGATGATGATGATGATGATGATGAGGAGGAGGAGGAGGAGGAGGAGGAGGAGGAGGAGGAGGAGGAGGAGGAGGAGGAGGAGGAGTAGAAGGTGGACGGAGCAGCAGGAGAACCCATTGGGTGGAAGGATGTATCCCACGATGCGGCAATAGCCTTTGCCTCGTGCGTCCCTGGAGGCACCTCGCTTCAGTACGGGAAGGACACCCCTTGAGTGACGAGCGCCCCACAGACGGAAGTCTTTTGCGAGATCATCACTCCGAAACAGCCGTCTATGTCGTTTGTACGGGTTGCGCACGCTTACAGTTCTGGTCGTGCAGATTGAGGCACTCCTTAGTGAAAGCCCCATTTCGAAAAAAAAGGCACCACCCTCCCCTTTGTGCACGTGTTGGGCAATGTTACACATCTGCCCGTACATCCCGACGGAAGTTCAGCGAGAGCCGCATTAGGAGATTGTTCCGCTTCCGTCCGTGTGCATTTTTTTCATTTGGGAGTGCGACGATGGGGAATTGGGGAATTTGAAGGAGGGGTGGACGGCAGGGGGAGGGTTTGGAGGAGCAGGGAGGAGGAGGAGGGAGCAGGATAATATGTGACAACAGTGAACATGATGAAATGTTGGCCTGCCCCCGTAAAGGTGCACTTCTTGTGACGAGCATTCATGCGGCTTGGCATGATGCTGGAATCTCCAACCCCTCTGAGAATTCTTGAATCAACAACTCTGTCATCTCAAAGCCGGATGCATGTCCGAGGAAGTAATTGTTACTCCGCCCATTCCGCCTACTCGGCCAGTCGTCAGTCATATTTTAGACTAAGATTGCCACGGCGATGTAGGTCCGAGGAGAGATGAGGAGGAGGAGGAGAGAGGAGAGAGGAGAGGAGAGAGAGGAGGAGGAGGAGGAGGAGGAGGAGGAGGAGGAGGAGGAGGAGGAGGAGGAGGAGGAGAAGAAAGGAGGAGGAGCAGCAGCAACATATTAGGGGGCGGGGAGGATCAGCGGGACCGGTGGGTGAAGAAGGCGGAAGAGCAGGAGACGCGGTTGGAGGAGGAGGAGGAGGAGGAGAAGGACGTGGACCAGTGCAAACCGAAGACGCATCAGCGATGTTGATGTAAACCTTCCCAGGTTCCCGCTTCATGGGTCGATCCTTTCACAACGTGATCTTCATCGCGGGAAGTGCCCCATTCCAGGACAACCGCTCGAATTTATCAACCTTGCCAAGCCGCAATTCCAAAGTACCAGTCTTGGGACTTCAACGCCTGACTGTTGCGTCCTGACAATCATAAACGTGCCAGAACACCATTCCTGATACTTTACATCACGTATCAACGTGACTGCTGCGCCTTGACAATTCAACTCGTGCCAGAACACACCAACGGACGCTTGAAGCCCTCATGAACTTTCAAGACGATTGTGCGCGGCGCTAAGGCGAAGCACATGTTGAAAGCGGACCGCTATCCATCTTTAGAGCTGTTGCGGACTTTTCAAAGGAATGCGCGCGGCGCGAAAGGTGGAGCCACATTTTGAAAACTGGCCGCCTTCCATACGTGAACTTGCTGTGAACCTTCAAGATGAAGGTGAGCGACGCTATGGTGGGAACCGCATTTTGAACACGGGCCGCCCTCCATCCTTCCCACTGTTGCAGGTGTCAAGCTTCAGGATCGTACAAGGTCAGGAAGTCTCAGGCCAAGCGCCCGCCCGCCCTGCAGACACGCCTGAGGCTGCGACAGGGAGGCGCTACCTCTGCAGGGAAGAGGGATGGGGTCAGGGGACTCACTGACGATATAGGGAGGGGAGAGTCGAGGCAGGAGGAGAAGCAGGGGGCGCCCGAGGAGGAAGACGAGGGGAGGGGGGAGGACGACGACGGATCGAGTAAGGGATCGACTACAACATCGAATTGCCCCAGATGGATCTTGTCGTCGGATCTGCTGAACAAAACGTGGGACTTCCCAGTTTCGACGGCAGTTTCAAGTTCGGAGCCGACGAATTCTGCAGTCCATCCCCTATTCGGAGGGAGGGCGGGGGGCATGCGGAGCAGGCCCCCGCCCGGCCTCTCGGCTCCCCGCGCGGGGCCGCGGGCAGGTATGCCGCGGCCCTCGGTCAGGCGGGCGGCCCCAGCGCGGCGCCCTGAGGAGGGGCGGGGCGCGGCGGCCGCGGCCCTCGGCGGCCCCCCTTGCGGGAGCGCCGTCGACCGAGTCGGCCAGACGACGAGGGCGGGCGCGGCGGGCGAGCGATCTGAGGACGACGACGAGGAGGACGCGGGCCGACGACGACGACGGGGAGGGGGGCGCCCTGGGGAAAAAGGGGAGGGGGGCATGGAGAACTCAGGGGCTGAGTCAGGGGGGATCGGCGCAGGGGGGGAACGCATCGGCCCCCGAGGGCCCCTGGATCCCGCCGGGGGCCAGATAGCCCACCCCGCCCAGGACAGTGCGGTGTCGCTATTGGGGGCCTGTCGCCGACGTATCGCCGACTCCAGGTCGATCTCCCCCACCCCCGAGGCGGTCCCCTCCTCTCGTTCTCCCTTAGCAATTGAGGAGCAGGGGTGGGCGGGGGCAGGGAGGGGCGTCCGAGGAGGAGGAGATGCCGATGCCGCTGCTCGTCCACGGCTGGGCCTGCCCCGAAATCACCGTCAGAACGCAGCCTGGGAGAGGTTTGGGGCTTGGCGGTATCGGGTTGTGCTGTTCCTGTGGCGGGGAAGGAGCAGGAGGAGGATGAGGAGGAGGAGGAGAAGGACCACTGCAAACCCAAGATGCATCAACGATGACGGAATAAACCCTCCCTCCAAGCTCCCTCTTCATAGGCCCCTACAACGGTTCAGTTCCATTGAAGGAACTGCCTTTTTGGAACAACCGTTTGAAACCCTGAAGCATGCCAAAACATTGTTCTCGGGATTCCAACGCCGCGGATCAACCAGACTGTTGCGCATTGACAACCAATCTTTCAATTTCAACACAGCGGATCAACATAACTGTTGCACCAGCATAATCCTGAATCCTTTCGAAACACCTTGTCTGGCGCGTTGATGATGGGAATCCGTGGAACTCTTGCAGTTGTTTAAACGAATGTGCGCAGCGCTAAGGCGAGAGCCACATTTTGAAAAGGAACCGCCCTCAATCCGTGAAACTCTTGCAAATTTCAAGAAAATATTGCGCGCCGCGCTAAGGCGAGAGCCACATCTTGAAAACGACCCGCCCTCAATCCGCGAAATTCTTGCAAATGTTTAAATCGCACCGCGCTGATGCGACGGTCACATTTTGAAAAGGAACCGCCCTCAATCCGTGAAACTCTTGCAAATGTTGAAGAGGAGTACGCGCCGTGCCAAGGCGAGAGCTACATTTTGAAAACGACCCGCCCTCAATCCGTCAAACTCTTGCATCTGTTTAGAACGAATGGGCGCCGCGCTCAGGCGAGAGCCACATTTTCAAAGCGACCCGCCCTCCATCTGTTCAACCGTTGCCAATGTTTTAAGCTTCAGAGTTATACATGGTGAGGAAGTTTCAGGCGAAACGCCTGGCCCGCCCTAAAAACTCGATTCGGGGTGCGACAGGGAAGTTATAGAAGGAAACGGAATGGAGGAGGAGTAAGAAGAGGACAGGAGGAGGAGCAGGAGGAGGAGGAGAAGGAGGAGGACGAGGAAGAGGGGAAGCGGGATTGGGAGCCGGAATGGGGAGCGGGCGGGGGAGCACCACCAGAAAGAGGGTAAGGACGAGGGGGCTGTTTGATGGGATGGTGCAGCGGCCGTTTGACTGAAGCTGTAGCGTCATGGCACAGGTCGAGTCATCTCTCTGTAAGTGCGCGCCATGTCCACGATGCGACCGCGCGCACGCAGGTGCGAGAGAACGATGTACGTCGACAGAGAGAGAGAGAGAGAGAGAGAGAGTGAGGGCGGGTCGCGCCGTTGGGTCGAGGAGCAGAACGTACCCGCAGAGTTCCGAAGAAGCGCAGACGTGTCCAGGCGCGTGGATCTGCGACGGGCCCCGCTCCCGTACAGAATCGGCGAGATCCGTCGCCAAGTCAGTCGATTTTGGCTGCATGTCTCAGTGGGCACCTTCCGTGATCCGTGGATCTTGCGCCCACGCGCCAGATCCACGGATCCCTGGTCCATGTTTGCGTGTGCCCGAGGGTGGGGCGTTGTTATTAGCCTGAGCGCGTCGATATGGAGTCATACGCAGTTCAATGCTTCAAAACCCGTTGCATGTTCCAGGTGTTCTCGTTTATTTTGTTCAGGTGTTTGAATCGTTAGCTCTGCGATCCACCATCAACGAGCGCACGGCCGCGATCCACGCGTGTCTTGATGAGACGTGCACGTGAATACTGTACCCTCAGCTTTTTCCTGCCAGAACCTTGCAATTCCGCATAGCGCAGGAACTGCGCGCTCGTATCATAAATGCCCATGTGAGCGCGGTGTGCAGGGGTATTGAGCCATCCAAGGTCACGCGCTTGCACCGTAACGGTTTCTCTTCGATTCGACTGGCATTTTTATGATGCGAATCAGCTTTTTGCGCAGCATGCCAGAGTACACGGACATGTTCCGAACACGTCCCGTCTGTTTGAGAGCACCATGCCTCTTTTCACTGGCCCTACGTAGGAGACACATGTTATGGTACGAGTCCGAATGAGCAGCAGGCGGGAGCTTGAGGGTCGCCCCCGATTGCGTCCATCGCAAGCGCTGAACATCCAGGTGTTTTGTTGGCACAGCAGTCGTGAAAAGGTAACTTTTTAGGGAGCCCGGTCCACCGTCGCTGGCCTGAAGCCTTTGTATAACCGGGGGTGGTCAGCAACCAGCAGGCCCCCCCTTCCCCCCTGGAAGAGTATCGAGTGGCCTTCGGTCGATCCCGCCACCGTACACCTTGGTTGTGTGTCTGAGGCCTATTGGATGTTCGCTGATATCTCGTGGGAGGCCTTTCGGGGGGGTGGAGCGGGGGGAGGGAGCCAGGTCTGCGGCCCCTGGGGGGCCACGTCAGAGCGTGTGTCACCGCTCTCTTGGCGGTGTCTGAAGCACCCGGGAGGGGCGGGGGGCACCCGAAGGCCTCTTGGGACCTCTTTTGGGCCTCGTGGGCGCTTCTTGTGGCCACTCGTGGTGGGGCCCTCTTGGGGAGGAAGGCTCGAATTTCCGGTTCGTCGTCCCCCTCTTGGGCCCCTCTTGGGGCCGTCTTGGGGCCTTCATGGGTTTGCCTTGGGGTGCCTCTTGGGCAGTTTTGGGGCTCTCTTGAGCCGTATTGGGGCCCTTTTGGGGGCCTCGTGGGCCGTCTTGGGGCGGTCTTGGGGGCCTTTTGGGCAGCCTTGGAGCGTCGAGAAGGGGAAAAGGCGAAGGCGAAGGGAAGGTTTTGGAGGCCTCTCGGGCCCAAATAACCAAATTAACCAGAAGAACCATTTTTTGTTTGCCTCTCGGGGCTCTCTTGGGCGGCTTCTTGGCGGCCTCTTGGGGCGCCTTGGCGGCCTCTCGGGCCATCTCGGACGTCTTGGAACGATCATTGGGCGTATCGCGGCTGTGTTGGACCGTCTTGAGGGCCATCGTGGCTCGTCCGCAGGCCCCTTGGGCCCAAAGAAGTCCTGCGACAAGATGCGAGAAACCTCAGGGGTCGCGCGCCAGGCCCCAAGAGATGTCGGAAATTCAGGTCCAGGTCCTTAAAACACTCCTCAGGACTGAGGACTGAGGCTCAGGGGATTCGGCAAAGGACCTACGAAAGAGCGCGTTCTGTGGTCGCTTGGAGGGGGGGGGGAGCCGCTTCTTCCCCTCTCCGCTTGCGTCGGCGGCGGCTGGCGGCGGCGGCGGGGAATGACGATTTCCTTTTCTGGGCCGGCGCCGGCGCCCGCGGCGGCGGGCGGCGGCGGCGGGGAGCGTCGACGAGGACGACGGTGGTGGTGGTGGTGGTGGGTTGTGGTGGTGGGTGGTGGTGGTGGTTTGGTGTTGGTCTGTTTGTTGTTTGTGGTGGTGGTGGGTTGTGGTGGTGGTGGTGGTGGTGGTTTGGTGGTGGTGGTGGTGTGGTTGCTTGTCGAGGTGGTGGTGGTTGGGGTGGTGGGTGGTGGTGGTGGTTTGGTTGTGGTATGGTGGTGGTTTGTGGTGGTGGTGGTGGGTTGTGGTGGTGGTGGTGGTGTGGCTGTGGTGTGGTGGTGGTTGTGGTGGTGGTGGTGGGTTGCGGTGGTGGCGGTGGTTTGCGGAGGAAGTGCTGGTGGAGGTGGTGGCGGTGGTGGTTTGTGGTGGTGGTGGTGGTTGTGGCGGTGGTTGTGGCGGTGGTGGTGGTGGTGGTGGTGGTGGTGGTGTGGTAGATTGTGGTGGTGGTGGTGGTGGTAGTGGTGGGTTTTTGTGGTGGTGGTGGTGAGTTGTGGTGGTGGCGGTTGGTGGTGTGGCGGTGGTGTGATGTTGGTTTGCGGTGGTGGTGGTGGTGGTGGTGGTGGGTTGTGGTGGTGGCTGTGATGGTGGTGGCTGTTGTGGTGGTTTAGGGAGGTGGTGCTGGTGCTGGTGGTGGTGGCGGTGGTGGTGGTGGTGTGGTGGTTTGTGATTGTGGCGGTGGGTTGTGCTGCTGGTAGTGGTGGTGGTTGCGGCGGTGGTGGCGGCGGTGTGGTAAATTGTGGTGGTGGGTTTTTGTGGTGGTGGTGGTGATGGTGAATTGTGGTGGTGGCTGTGGTGGTGGTGGCTGTTGTGGTGGTGTGGTGGTGGTTGTGTGGTGGGTTGGTGGTGGTGGATGTGGTGGGTAGAGGCGGTGGTCTTGGCGGTAGTGGCGGCGGTGGTGGTAGTGGTGGTAATCGTCGCTGCGTCCCCGCCGTCGCTGGCGCCAACGCCGGCGCTGCTGGCCGCCGCCAGCGTTGGCGCCGGCGCCAGGGGGAGGTTGGGTTTCAAAGGGAAGTTTTAACCCCTCCCCCCCCTGGCGCCCAGGGAGGGGGGGTTCAACCCCTCCCCTTGGCCTGCCTCTGGTCGTCGTCGCTGCGTCCCCGCCGTCGGCGCTGCTGGCGGCCGCCAGCGCCGGCGCCGGCGCCGGGGAGGGGGGGGGGTGTTGAACCCCCCCCCTTGGGAGAGGGGGGGGGGTCGGGAGGAGGGGGTTTTGGGGGGAGGGGAGCCCCCCTGGTTTTGATCGACGGCGCCGAGCGTTAGAATGGGCCCACCCCCTGGTTCGAAACGCGCCGCCGAAT